GAACAAAACTCATAGCGCACTTACGTAGCGTAGAACAAAAAGAAAAGTAGATAAGAGTATGACTGAAAAAATGGAAGGACGGTGGCTTTGAGGTTCATTCCATTTGAACGCTTGTAACTGATAGAATAGACTGTTACACCCATGTTAAGGCAATAATACAAACTTAGATTGGATGTGAGTTTAGGTGTAGGTGTACGTGCCGGAGTAGATTATTTCCACAGACACCCACACCCGGCGAAAAACCGCAGTCATTTTTCATCGTTTACGGCATTATCTGCGCCGTTTCTTGACCGTTTCAGAATGATGGACCTGAGTTTTAATAATTATTTAATATTTTCTGTTTTAGATTTGAATATAATTTAATTCATATCTGTTAGCATATGTTACCTTAAATTTATAGAGAAATTAACATAAAGTTGTTTGTTTTTCAGAACTGAGATTAATTTTAAATTATCAGTGAATTCTTATTTATCTTCCTTTTTTTAATGTGAAATTTTTGTTTTTCTCGATAATAGAGTGCACGTGTGGACGTTGTTATTCTCTTCACCAGTACCCACACTCACACCCTTATAAAAAAAATTATTTCTCCATCGAATTGTTTATTACTTCTTTATGTAGACAAGTTTCTAGTAGACTTTATAGTTACTTCAATGAGTCATTATTTGCTATTCAATAATGACTCATTTTCATCCTTTTCTTCTACTTTCTTTCAAATGTTAAATTGTAATGATTTGTTCTAGCTTAGAGATACGTATATGGTATTGTCTACAAAAAATGAAAAATCAGTTCTCACGGCTGTAGCCCGTAACTCTTGTTTGCAATGTTTTCTTAACATACTTTTCGATATTTGGCGATGCTGGTATTTTATTTAATGCATCGAAAGAACTGTGTGATTCAACAGGCGATAAAAGACTAATGTCAAGAAGCAAAAATGGTTATTTAAAACGTTTATTTAATTTTGATAAGAACATTATTAATAATGATCAATTAGAAAGACTCGAATGAATTTCAGCTCAACATTATTGTGAACCAGGTGCATTAGCTTGCATAACCTTCGTGTGTTCCAAACTGTTACGTTTATGATTGCCAGCAATTGTTAGCGCACACTGTACACTGACTTGACTTTCCTGAATAAAAAAAATGACTCAAGTTATATTACTGAAGTCATCAGGATTGGAACAGATGGCACGTGTCATAGATGTCTCTGTGATATTGTACATGGGAAAAAGTATGCACCAAGTACTTAGAAAACAGGATCGAGAAAGTGCATGACACTTTTCAATTATCACTGATGAAATTCTTTCGCATCATTTCATGCTACCAATCTTTTCTGAATGTATTGCATCAATAATTTGTCAGCATTGCATATAATTACAAAATCGTTGTGCAATTGCTTTCGTTTCGTTTTAAAATAACGAACGCATAGCATATAATCATTTCACAAACTTTATTAAAGAAAAACAGTAAATTCGACACTCAACTCCAGTGAATTTAATCAGTTGAGCCACTAGTATCAAATTTATATTTAATACAATAAAAGTAACCCAAAGATTATTGTATATTTGTATATAGTTTTTATAAAACTTTTCATTGTAGTGAATCGTGCGCGTGGTCGTGGATATGCAAGAGGTTCTGGCAGTCGAGGTGGTCGTGGGTATGGAAGAGGTGTTGGCAGCAGAGGCGGTCGTGGCTATGCACGTGGCCGTGGTCAATCTCGTGGTGGTCGATGGTTACAAAACGAACGATCAAGCTCCATGGATGTTGATGATCAACAAACAGTATCAATCAATTTCTTAGCCGATCTTGATATCAATGGTGATCCAAAGCCATTTTTTGTAGATCCCAAGGCTACTCTAGATCAGCATATTCAAGCACAAACGACAAACTTGCCTCGTTACATAGCTGCGTTATTCACACTTAATGAAAACAATGTTGAAATTGGTCAGAAAGCTAAAGCATGTGCATTGGCTGCTGCTTGGTGTCGACATGATCACACTTTAGCTAATAATCTTTTACGTCATCGACAATTATTCACTCTGACTGAAGTATTGAAAGCAGTAATGATGTTAGATGCCGGTCGGCAACTTCGTGCTTATGAAAAACAAATAAAACGTCTTGAATTAAGCAAAACAAAGCCAAAAGCAGCAACATTGGGTAGAATAAAAAATAATACCGATAACTTAAATAGACTCAAAGCATCAACTGGATCAGTTAGTGGTGCTGTAACTCGACATATTCAGCGTTGGACTCGAACATTAACTCGGCAAGAACTTGAATATTTTGCGCTGCATATGCCAACAGAGTCATGGAAAAAATTAGCCGATATTGTTCATTTTAATCCAAGCAAAGATTTTCCTGCTTTACCATGGTTTTTACCATTTTGTTTCGGTACACCGGCACCAGAGGAAACAATGGTAGCACGTTGTCGAACTTTAACAAACGAAAATGTAAATGATCTAATTAAAGAATTTAAAATTCCTTATTCACATTTAAAACAATTTAAAGATCATTTAAATGATAAATCAAAAGCAAGAATTGCATCGTACGAAGAGAAATTAGATACAATTTTATGGTATTACGAAGATTTACAATGCCCGGACGTTGATGATATTATCAGTGAAAGACTAGAAAACGGCGAAGAAATAAGTTTACCATATGGTAAACTCATGGAACGTCTGTTAGTTCTTCGAAAATTACGAGATACACCAAGTGAAACAGCAGCCGTTGGCAATGTTCAAGATCAAAATTCGGTACAATCCAGTAAAAATAAATGCTATTCTTACTTGTTATCAGTTGCTGAAGGTCAACTTGCAAAAATAAAACTACCATTAGAATCACCCGTAGCTGTCATGGGTGATGCATCGTATTCAATGGATGTTGCCATTCGTACAGCGACAATCTTAGCGTCGTTATTAACAGCAGTTTGTTCAGCTAAATTGAACTTTTTCCATACTGCAATGTTTTTACCAGCATTTACACCGAAAACTATTGAAGATGTTCTTACATTAGCATTGACAACAAAAGCTCATGGTTTAACAGCCAATGCTGCTGGTTTAGTATCATATTATGATAATAAAGAAATTATTAAAACATTTATTATGGTGACAGATGAGATAGAAAATACAGATGTTCATACGGCTGATGGCATACCAACACGATTCTTTAATTTGTTTATGAAATATCGTTCAGAAGTTTATCCAGCTAAATTAGTATTTATTTCCTTCCTTGATAATCAACATGATCAAGGTCAAATGTATACAGAATTTCTAAATGCGAATGTACCAGATGTAATTCAAGTAAGTTACACGAATAATTGAATGTAGGTATGTTTAGTCTTTTTGTGTTTAGTTCAAATTCAATGGAAAACGTCCAGATTTGACAAAAATCGATAATCTCTTGGGTCTATTATCGATTGATTCATCACAAACATTTGGTGATCAATTAGGAAAACTACAGAATGAATTTGAACAAAGTAGTATTGAATCAGTTATGACAAGATTAATTAATAAATTAACGAACAATTCGCCTCCAAATGAAGTATAACAGACAACGATATGATTGTGCCGATATTGATGGCACGCTTCGATGATTCTCCTTCCTCTTCCTTTTATTCTCTTTCCATTATTATAATATATCTCTCTCCTGTCTCTCTTCTCTCTCTCTCTCTCTCCTATATATACGTGTGTTATGTATGAAGTTGTTACACTCTGGATATGTGAATAAACGAATAAACATCATTGCCGTGAGTGGCTGTAAGCTACTCCACCTCTATCCAGTTTGTCAATACGATANTGAAGTTATTACACTCTGGATATGTGAATAAACGAATAAACATCATTGCCGCGAGTGGCTGTAAGCTACTCCACCTCTATCCAGTTTGTCAATACGATATAAACTCAACAGAGTCTTATTTATCGATACATGGCGACTCTGGCAGACCTTGGTCATTACATCTGGGCCCTGGCTGTCGAATCCTGGCAAATTCTCAACGCAATTGATTTGTGCCAAAATTAACAATAACTCAACATCATGAACCACCATTCAAAAAATTTAATTCAATAGCAACGGACGGTAATAAATAATGAGATAAAGAATGACTGAGTGAGAGACTACAAGTTGAAAGACATGGCACTGTCAACGAACTGTGGTACTGATGTTGTTGCAGTACGACACAGACGGCAGTGTTACAGAACATCAGTGAACGTACTACAGGGCGGCTATTCTCCCGACCGGCAGTGCGAGTCATCGGCTCGCGTTCCTTCGCAACATCTGTACGTTTCATGTCTCAAATCTCAAACCTCTCCATTCATCATTAATTTCAATCAGAATTGTTCCGTTCCGGTTATAACAAGCTGATGTTGATGACAGTTGAACACTATTGCCGACCGTTCGTAAGCAATTTCAATTCTTAGATCATCAATATACCATCTGTACAACATCCAGCTGACTGTTTTCAATGTTCGAATATTCGCTAATATCAGATACGTAAATATGATTAGAATAAAAAATAGAAAGAAATAGATCATCTTTAAGATTAACACTTATGAAAAGTGTAAAAACTGTTTTTCGATCGATTGCCCAGAAGGGATATTAATTTTTCTTGTATTCGTGTTAAATTAGACGTGCTACCTTTGATAAATCAAAAATGAAATGTAAAATTTTTTTATAACGAATTAATGTGTGACTAAATTTTTCTCTGATAGGTTATCGGTATGTATTGAAAACACCGAAAGAAAAAAAATGTCGAAAGAAAAAATGTCGAAAAAAATGTCGAAAAAGAAATGTCGAAGGAAAAAAATGCCGAAGGAAAAAACATCGAAAGGAAAAAACACCGAATGAAAAAAAATGTCGAATTAATGAAAAATTATATTAGATTGTAAAATGTAAAATATTTATTTTATTTTCTCGAAAAAAAAGGACAATATGTTGATTGATAACGATAAATAGCTATAAAAAATGAATTATTCGATAGGTCCATATGTATGTGATAAAAATAAAGTTTATGTCCTTTTCGTGACGAGGAATGATAAGTTATCCAACAATTGTTTTACGTCGATCTGCTTGTTGTTGTAACGTTGCATAAGAGTATCAATACGTTTTTGAATACCATTAGTATAACTTGAACGTGGCCGACGTTTAGAACCTGTATTGATTTGGACGTATAAGTGTTGAAATCGGCTTTCTTCACGAACAATGCACCTGATGAATGACCATATATTTGCATGTGCTTGTTCCATTCGTCGGTTTAATCTATTGTGAAATCCTAAATATAGACATTTTGATAGAAGGTTGCAAAAGAAGGATTATATATACCTTCACATATATTGTTAGTTCGATGTTGATTATCATGAATATTCCACATTTTAATTGGTATATTGTTAATCCAATATTCATCAAAATATAAAAATAATTCGCGAAGTTGTAGCTTCACTGTTGGATCTGCTGTTGCACGTAAATCATAAAAAGAAGTTTCAACTTCTTGAATTGGTAAAAGCGGTAATGCCATCAATTTACGACAACAGCTCCGAACTGACTCATCATGTGAATAAGCCGTGGCTAAACCAAGCGATTGGATACGTCGATATAAGCACTGACTGAAATGGAAATAACACCCTTTGTGAACACTTTCAGGAAACTATAAGAAAAAACAGATGTGTTTTATAAAGTGACTGAAAGTTTTTACTTCGGTAGATATTGCTGGTATCAAGCTGGTTTCAAAATCAGACATAATTTGGTCGGGCTTCCATGTTCGACCCATAGACACAGCAACAGCATTTAATTCTTTAAATAATTGTTGATATGTCGATTTTTTTCGATCAGGCAATAAGGCAAATATACAGGGAAAAGCTGAAAGACAAAAAAAATGAATTGTCGTTTAAATAGGATGTATATCGTACCACAATCAAATTTTAAACCATGAATAGTAAAAATCTGGTCGAAAAACGGTGGTGTTGATCGAAAAGTTCCATCAAGAAAAATAATAGAACTGTCGAATAACAATTGTAATTGGTTCGGACTACCAAAAATCAACATCCTTTTCTTCCGAGAAACCAATTTGTCGCAAATCAAGAAAGGTTCACCGGAGGCTGTGGTTTGATATGCCTCAGGAATATCGAATGAATTTGATTCAGGTAATATTGGCGTTAATTTTCTTCGTGCCTGATTCAATCCTGGTTCTAAAGAAAAAAATATATAAATATATGTTCGACGATTGAACGATTATAGTCGTACGTATGTGGTGAGCGAGTGGAATTGATGCAAGAACATCTACTGAAAGATTTGCTTTGGCAATTTCTTCATCATAGATTTTCTGTATTGGAACTGTTTCGTTTACCACACGTTCCTTTAGAACTGTTCTAAATTGTTTCACCCTCAAAGTCTGCGGTTCAAACAAATGATTATGTTCACCAGTTATGTGTAGCAAATTATTGTTGGTATCCGTATGAATATACACCGTACAATTTGTCATTGTGCATCTCCAGTAAAGTTTTGTTGTTGTCTTCTTATTCAAGTTGAAAACGAAATCATCGTGAACCAGTTGCGAACCACCTTTGTTGGAGTGAACAAACGATGTTAAACTTGTGTTATTGGGCATTCCACAATCGAAGAATCTATAAATGAAGAAACATATACTAATATGTCCAAAAGCGAGCGATATATATATATGGTCAGAAGAAAACACCTCGATCTTTCTTTATTTCTTTGTTTTCTTTATATCCTGTGTACGTTCGATATTCTAGAATGTTCGCACATGCAGCGACTTATTGGTGGAAAAGTATCAACTAATCAACGAAACTATAAAAGAAAATACGAAAGAAAATATCAGCAATATAATAGGAAATAAAATCCATATTGGTCAATTACGACATCTCAGAAGTTTCGACATATTACATGATCGATGTTTTTTTCTTTCGACATTTTTTTCTTTCGGTGTTTTCATAGTAAATCAGGTTATCGTCTATTATTGATCGTTTAGTGCTGACACTATTTTTTTTTCTTTGCTATTTGTGACATGTAAAACTAATCTAACTATAAAGTTAGAAAAAGAAAACGTTCTAGGTATCGTTTATGCACTAGATTAGATTTTCTGTACGCAATGAATTACCAAATTGTTCTTTTCTAATTTCTGCAAAAGCAAAAATATGTATTCGAATTCGTT